AAGTTTCTTAGGCGTGACCGCGCTTACGCCTGGCAGGAAGAAGCGGGCTGTGACCCTGCTTCCGATAAACGGCCCTGGCTGCGGCGGGCCCGGGCTGCCTCCTGCCCCTCTGCGCCCCTCGCAGGGCGGAGCGAGCCACGGAACCGGCCCGGAGGCTGCGCCTACGGCGGCTCTGCCGGATCCGGAGTACCAAGCCGCTGGGCTTGCGTTTGCAGCAATGCTGCCGAGCCCTGGTGCTGAGAGCTGCGAGCGAATGGTTTAACTTTCAAGGTTGGGAAAAATGCGGTTAAAAAAAAAAAAAAAAAAGCTTATGAACTGTTGAAAAGCTAGATTGCAAACATTCTTCTGCTAATAATGTGGTTTACACTCTTGCGGCGTTCGTAGTGGTGCCTTGTTTTTAATGGTGTTCTTCCGAGATTCATTCTGGCCCCCAGAGATTTAGATCTGAGTATTGTATTTTTGGAGCTCTGCCTTGTTTAGTGATATGTTATTAACAGTCAAAGTAAGTTTTTCCCGTGGCAACGTAAATTACTTGTGGATACTGATTTTAAAAGACTCGCAGGCTAGTTTAACATAGGTGGGTTGTAAATAACCCCTTACTAGGGAAGTCTTGCTAGTGAAATGAGTTACCTATAAAGCCTTGTATAGGTCACAAGTGAAATACAGTCATGAAAACTGCAAGGCTTTTGCACTGCACTGCTTTGCAGCTTTTGAAAGCTTGTGTTAAGGTTAATCACAGAAATAAAGATCATAGAAATTGGAGCATTTTCCACTGAAGTTTATAATGCACAACCATATGTGGAGTTGGCTGCTAGGTATTAAGTCATACTATTTCCTTGGTGCAGGCAGTTTCATGCAGCATTTGTGAAGATGAGACTTCCTGAGATGGTTGAGACAGTGTAATAGATCTTCCCAAAAGAGCTGGGCGGTGTCATTCTGTTACCTCCCCTGTGCTGGGTCTGGCAGATGATAAGAACCCCAGAGCCAGCACAGGGAGGAGGAAGCAGGACTGCAACTGTCACTGGCAGCAAGCTCAGCTATCATGGAAAAATCTTGCCTCAGGTCCAACCTTGTGAAATATGATATGTGCAAAGCCTTCAGGCCCAGTTTATTCAAGTTGTGTTGTTTGGCGTGTTCGTAATGTCTTACAAAACTGTACCCTGAGCTAGATCCTAAAGAATAGAAGACCAAGGGTTGAACAGGAGAAGGTGGAGACTGTAATTTCTTGTATATCATTTACACTTCTTGTTCTCATGAAGTTACTGATGTAGGTTTAGATCTTTTTGTTTTGCAGCTGGACACTTAGTATTCTCATAGGAAGCTTTTGAGAACTGCTTGTTATAACTTCCTTTTTTTAAAATGAAAGTTTTCCTTCCCCCTCTCCCTCCCCCCTAAAGGCTTTAAAAAAACAGTGATAAACTAATGTTTGGTTCTGCGTACACAGGAGGTTATTTAATACATAAACTTGTGATGATAGTAAAGAATACTTTGCTAGTCAGAAAAAAGCTTTGTTACTCAGCCAGAAACACTAATGAAACATGCAAGAAAAAGTGTTCAGAAAAGTAATGATTTACATTCTTTTGAATTATTTATATTTGGACTTTTATTTCACCTATAAGTTATAGTTTACTTTCTTTATCCACTTACATAGTACGTGTTCATTATGTCCATCTTTAAAACATTCTTTAAAGCAGTAGTCGAGCTTGTTTTCACTGGTGACATTTAATTATTTGTGTGGGTTACAGCTTGGAGAGTGTTACAGTTGGGAGGTTCTGAGCTGGATGCAGTTGAGCGAGGATGTGGTCAGTGTGAGATTGACCAGTGCGATGGGAGTGTGGGATATGGAGGAAGCCCAGATGAAAGTGGAGAAACAACACTGGACGCAATGATTATGGATGGGTAAGAAGACTACATGGAGAGAAGAATGATCCTTGTCATTTTTAGACACTTTAATGTGAGTTGTACAGAGATGTTGTACAGGCTGACTATGGGACAAGTTATATGTTAACTTGTGGAACTAGGAAACTGGTGGAACTAGGAAAAATACTTCTTTAACTGGTGGAAGAGTAGCTAAGCATGTTTGTTATGAATCTTTACATGTAGTTCCGTTATCTGGCTCTAGATACAGAACTTGCAAAGCAGATGGTTTGTAGCATTGTAAGCTTTCCCTGTACAATCATTCCATAAATATTTCACTTCTGCAGCAATTGTCTTTATACTTTAACATTTAAAACTTCCTGATTAAAAAGGAATTGCAAGTGTGTGGTTCATGTTATGAGTTTATGTAACAAAATAGTTACCCTACTGTGGATGTAGTTATTGTTACTTGAGCAATATCCCCATGCCTGTGAAAGGAAATCATACGTGTACGAAGTTCTTCCCTACTAGCATGATGCCGTCTGTCTGTGACATAGATCAATTAAAGCAGTATGTTAAAGGAGCAATTTTTCTAATCTAGATGAGAACAGATTTTGTCTAATAAAAAATGTAGTTATTCTTGTTTTTTTAACAAGTTTTAAATATTTTTTCCAGTAACACTATGGACGTTGGGGCAGTTGCGGATCTCAGGCATATAAAAAATGCAATTGGTGTGGCGCGGAAGGTTATGGAATACACTAAGCATACATTATTAGTGGGAGAGTCAGGTAATTATTCCTTTAACTGTTTCCAAGTCATACCCTCTTTCTAAAACACTTCCTGTTAAAATTGCCATATGTTAATCTTGGTAATATATAGGTGGAAGGATTCCCTGACAGTCAAATGAATCTAGTCGAATAATTCAAAAGTGTTTACTTTCTTATTACATGCATATGAATTAGGTTTTAGTCTGTTATTTGGCCATGAAAAATAGAATTTTATAGTCTTTCCACCTATTTAACTGCAAATATTCATTTATAATCCCAAAGCTTTGCTGATATCGCTGCTGTCAAAAGTATCAAGGGTGATTTGATACAAGACACTGTAGAAGCTGTTAGATGTAAACATTTAATTTAAAACCATTAAGTAACTTTCTCTAAGGAATGACAGAATTAATAGACATTACAGATAATACATTTTACTACTTTAGTATATATTGAACATGATTACTGTATTTCATAGTTTAAAAATATTAGAACTTGAATGAAAAAAATTACATTAGGAGCTGTACTCCTAGGCACAACTAAAGAGCAATAGCAAACTGGAGGAATAGTTGAGCTTTTAAAATAGGAGCAGCTGCTAGACTAACAGTGGTTTCAAAACAAGATGTATGTTCCAGGGAGGTATATGAATATTGAGTGGAAAGTCACTTGGCTCACAGTTAAGGACTTTTAAACTGTGTGAACCTGCTCAGAAAAAAAATGCAGAGACAAGTGTGGAAATTGACATCTGAGCATTAAGGGTGAGTCAAGTGCTTTGAAACTGATAAGAAAAGATTCTTGAAGGAATTAATGTGTACAGAATGATAGAGAAATAAGTGTAACAGCAGCTTTTTGATAGGGTAAAATAGGTCAATAGAGGGAGGTGAGGACAGTGTTTGACAGAAGGTCTGAAAAGTTCTATTTGTGGGTTCTATTTATGAATTATGAATATTGAATTATGAATATTATGAAATATCTATTTCATGAGCAGTTGGCCATGATTAGGTTATGAGTGGCTTTGGTAAGAGAGATTTCACAGGTGATACTGAAAAAGAAATTGGTCAGGTATTAAGTAACGGAGGAAGAAATGCTCATAATAGTCCTTTCCTCATTGGTAGTTACCAAAATATTTTTAACTTTTGATTGGTAGAATGAGTGGAAGAGATAAGAAGCAGAAGAACAGCCTAAGAAGATAGCTCTTTGCATAATAGGAATCATGTGGACAAGGCTGATATACTGAGTCCTTGCTGTCAGTGAGAACTTCCTCAGAAGAAACTGTGTAGCAGTTGTGGCAAAAGAAAGACAGGAAAGCTGAAGATATGTCTGAGTAAAAATTGGTGATAAATGTTAGTGAACGAATCGGAGCAGTGGAGAAATTGAGAAAGAATAATATTTCTTGTGAAGGAATGTATTTTCTGTGGAAATAGGAGCTTGGATAAAGGAAACTATAGTTGTCTTTACCAGGTAAAGACTGATAAGGAGAAATTAGAGCTATAGCTTCAGAATAATACATTTGAACCTTCAAATCAGCATGTGAGAGAAAATGACAATTTCTTTTCTAAATAAAAATATTTACATTTTCACTAGAAAAGCTAGCTAGAAACGTATATAATCTCTGCAGCCTTTTTTTTTTTTGATTCAAGATGAAAAATTGCTGAGGTTATTCCTTATTATTTCCCAATAACTAAACTGCACTTTTATTTGTATATATTTAATGATATAATCTGGGAAAGTCTGCCTGTCTCTTAAAATTTAATTTCTGAGTGGTTGACACTAGAGGGGAGAAGGCAGGCTGTGTCATGCATTAATTTTGTTCCATAGAATCATAGTATACCAGGTTGGAAAGCACCCCAAGGATCATCTGGTTCAACCTTTCTGGCAAAAGCATGGTCTAGACAAGATGGCCCAGTGCCCTGTCTAGCTGAATGTTAAAAGTGTCCAGCATTGGGAATCTACCACTTCCTGGGGGAGATTATTCCAGTGACTGATTGTTCTCATTGTGAAAAATTTTCCTCTTGTGTCCAATTGGAATCTCCCCAGGAGTAGCTTGTACCCATTACCCCTTAACTTTTCCATGTGACTCTTCTTTACACCCTCCCTTCAGATATTTTTATACACTGATGAGATCCCTTCCAGAGCCTTTTCTTCTCGAGGCTGAAGAGTCTCAGCTCCCTCAACCTTTCCTCATAGGAGAGATTCTCCAGTCCATTAATCATCTTTGTGGCCCTTTGCTCGACTCTCTCCAGTATGTCCATGTCTCTGTACTGGGGAGCCCAGAACTGGACATGGTACTCCAGGTGTGGCCTTTCCAATGCTGAGTGGAGGGGAAAGATCGCCTCCCTTGACCCGCTGGCAGCACTCCTCCTAATGTGGAGCCCAGCCTGCACTGTTACCTGCCTTTGCTGCAAGGGCACGTTGCTTACTGACATTGAGCTTGCCGCCCACCAGAACTAGGTCTTCTCCTGCCAAGCTACTTTCTCCCTGGGTGGCCCCAGAATGTACTGGTGTATGGGGTAGTTCCTCTCCAGGTGCAGGGCTTTGCAGTTCTCTTTGTTGAGCTGTCTGAGGTTCTTATCAGCCCATTTCTTTAGCCTGTCAAGATCACTCTGGATACCAGCATAACCCCCAGTGCTTCAGCCACTCCTCCCAGTTTTGAATCATCTGTAAAATTTGCTGAGGGTACATATACTCTGCCCCATCATGCAGATCAATAATGAAGATACTGAATGTTACTGGACCCAGTATTGACCCTAGTGGTACACTGCTAGTTACTGGCTCCAACTAGGCGTCACACCACTGATCACAACCCTCTGAGCTAAGCCCTTCAGCCAGTTTTCAGTCCATGTCACTGCACATCCAGCCAATACTTTATCACCTTCTCTTTGGAGATCTTAGGGAAACAGTGTCAGAAACCTTACAGAAATCAAGGTAGACAATATCCACTGTTCTCACCTCATCTACCAAGCCAGTTGTTTCATCATAGATGGTTATCAGGCTGATGAAGCATGACTTCCCTTTTGTGAAGCCATGCTGACTACTTCTGATCACCTTCTTGTCCTTCATGTGCTTAGAAATGGTTTCCAGGGTAGTTACATCGTCTTCTCAGTGATTACATCACCTCTCAGTGATCACCACCTCAGAGGTGAGGCTGATCAGCCTGTAGTTCCCTGCTTCTTGTTCTTGGTGTAGCTTTTGCTGAACAGATGCAGCTAACCACAGTGAGCAGTTCTTGCACTGTTAAAAGAACTGCTTTCTCCATTCATTGCCTAATTTCTTTAGGACAAGTCTTAGAAAACTAGCAATAAAGGCCATCTCTACCAATGTAGGACTGAGTCTGATGAGAGACATTTAGTGCAGAATGATTACAAGTGAGGAAAAGGATTATTTTGGTTATCTGCCAAGAAATTTTCAGGTTTGTCCCTAATGGATAGGAAAGTTTCACATCATAGTGTCCCTGAACTTTTTCCTTTTTGTCCTAGCAATACTTAGACCAATAATCCAAGTAAAAAGTTCAGAGAGTAAAAAATAACCAGCTGTGCCTCCTGGAATAGAAATAAGCCTTCAAACATCATGAAAGAATGACTGACAAACATGCACAAGCAAAATTTTACCTTAAAAAAGACCCAAACACCATAAAAACCCCTGCCTCTTTGTTCTAGAAATGGGAAAATAAATAAATATTTCTTTGAAGCTGTTATTTTTCTTTTCCTCTGAGTGAAGAAACTTTAATTTTGTTAGTTTTTAAGAAAAACGCAGAAAAGCTGTCCAAAAATAATTAAAGGCTTTTCCTAATTCTTGTATTGCAGAAATCTTGTTCAGCTGTGTCTTACAGTGACATTATTATCAAGGATTGGTAATATAAATTGTTCAAGCATCTGAATCTAGCAACAGTATCTGTTGCTAGGTAATATCAAAGGTATCTACAACTAAAAGATGGCAGAACAGTTGGATCCTTTTTCTTTTCCCTCTCCCTAACTATAAAAGCAATTTTTAGAAGTACAGCATTCTTCCACTGCTTGTGTTGGCATTTCTTTTGCTCCCTTGGTGCATACTATATTAATTTTGAAAACAATGAAGCAATCACTTTTAAAGCTGCAAGGAAGAAGTATAATATGATGTAAGATGGTGGATTGATTTCTGCAAATACCAGTGGTTAGTGCCAATCTTGTGCTACTAGTTTACTTACATTTCATAGAAGATTAGTTTTTTAAGGAAAATATGCTATTATTTGTATCACTTATTTAAATATTTGTGACACACACAGCCCAGGCCACTCTTGCTCCAGGTTATTTGTGTCCAGTTGGTTAACAGACTTAAATTTCTTTCTCTTTCAATGATAAAACTTACATGTTAACATAGTTACAGTGAACTGAGAAAATCTGATACTGGCCATGAAAGGAGAGTTTGTTACTGCAGCTGTGCATCACTATAATGACTGATAACTGCTCTCTGAAGAAATATTTCTCAGTTCCATAAAGAGTGTAGAATTTCTTGTTTTCTAGATAACATTACATGAATGTATTATCATAAAATATATAAAAATGTGAATAAATCGATGGTTTTGGTTTTGTTGTTGCTTTTAAAGCCTCCCTGTTTGCTGTAAGAATGGGGTTTCCATATGAAGATTTAACTACCCAAAAATCTCTTTCGGTGTATTCACAGTGGCTTAATCAAAGCTGTCAGCCAAACTACTGGAAGGTACAGTGCAGTGATGGTGGTGAAGTGGGGGTTTAGAAAGTCAGTAATGCAGCATTGCCTCTTCAGCTTATGTCGAAGTTGTGCTTTACATGTGAAGAGATAAAAAAGTTTTGCTTATTAAACAGAACAAACTTGGAATGGCCAAGCATTTGGTAGACTCGGGAAGAGTATGCATCTAGCTCTTACTTCTTAAATCCTCCTGGTTTTGATGTTGCTGTTTTAGTGAGGGAAATTTTTTTTTATCTTCAAATTTGGGCAGAACTTCTCAAACTAAAAGTGGTGCATGTATATTTTTGATGCATATATAAATTCCTGAAAGAAAATCTTACAGTAGCAATTAAGGTCCTTAGAGTGGCCTTATTCAGACCTGTAAACACATCGCATTAATGCAGCTCTGTTAAACTTGCCTGTTGTGGTAAGGGTGGCTTTGTTTTTTTTATTTTGGGATTGGAGTTGCAGATTTCTACATGTTTATGCACTGCCTTCGTTGTGTCTTGGATATGAAATGCTGCATTACTGAACCATTTTAATTCAATATGTATTCTGTTTTTCAGCTGGGAGAATATCTTGACTATGATAGTGACTTGACATAATATCTTGACATTAGTAAAACAAGCTTAGTTCATCTGGTTGTTTTTTCAGTTTGAAGATTTTCTTATTTTGCTGAAGAATGAGTGTATGGTTTTGTTTTTTCTTTACTGATCAACTGAGCAAAAGAGATTCTTTAATGTGAACAACATAACTTCCTAGTAGGAAAAACATATAATACCACAAGTCAGTCTTTATTCTTTAAACAAAACAACTTGTGGGATTTCAGTATGGCTGTATAATTTAAGTATTGGGGATCTGATACATGTGTAGTAGATTATAGATATTGATTGTAGTACTTTAATGCAGCATAATATGTTATTCATGAAAATAACAAAATAATTACAGAATGTGGTACCAGACTCTTCAAAATCCTGTGGACCATACAAACGGCCTGAAAAAGTAACGTGTAAAGAAGAACAGACCATCTCACAAAGAAGTGTTCATAATCATGATACTATTGGTAACAATCTTTAGTAACTGTGATGCTATTTTTGTTTCCTCATTCCCCTACAATTTAAATCATACTGAGTTTAAAGACAAGTGTTTCATATAGGCATTATTTCCTATTTATAATGGTTTCAAGCTTGTGTTACTTATGTGTTAGGATTGAATGCCTAAAAGTAGGAATTTTTTTTGTGTTATTTTTTTTCAGTGTGCTGGCTGCACAGCCACTTGCTTCATTTTTAGCCCTTAGCTGTTTCATTGCCCTGCTGCTTTTCTGTCAGATATTCTTGGCATAATTGCTTGGGTAGTTATGGATTCTTAGAAAACTGATCAAGGTTAAAAATAACTATTTTTATCTTGGTTATGGTTAACATAGGTCGAGTCACTCCTAATCTAACCTAAAAAGTTAGACTGCCAGATAGTCCTTAAACTTATAAAATAGAGATTACTTTCATTCTTCTTCTGTTCTGGCTTTTGACTAAATCAATAAATTTCTACAGAAACTACTATGCTTAAAGCAGGTTAGCAGTAGTAGTCCCCAAAGACTTCTAAGAATGTACTGATTGAGGATTGTTAATTGCTAAGCCTATAAACTGATTAATGAGCAGATCAGACAAAGGACTGGAGCAGTTACAGATTAATGTCTTTCAAAGCTTTATACTTTGTAGTCTTGAAACTTACACTTTTTGTTTTAGTCTGGATTTTTCTCAGTTTAGCAATTCAGAACTTTTTGCCTAACAGTATTTGCAATACCAAGAATTAACAGCTTGTTTCAAGTTTGAATCTTTCTTCTTTGCTTCCAGTCCACCCTACTAATAACCAATTAATGTTCTACAGAAGCCAGGCAACCTACCAAGTTCTTAAGTTGCTAGGTAGCTTTCTTTACTGGGATATACAGTCTTCAATATGTTCTAGAAAATGTGGAAACTGTGGAGTGTCAGGATGAGAGGGGAATCTGCTAAATGCAATTCAGGGATTGCTTGTATCATTAAGTACTCCTGAGCTGTTTTATAGTATGTGATGGGCTTATCAAGTTCTCCTGCTCCACTGTTTGTTTTGTATATGAAATGTCTCCTTGACTAACACATTTTGAGAAAAGTCTTAATTCAGAATGCATTTAAGAAGTTGGTAGGAATTGATGCTCTTCCAGTCGTTTTGCAGAGGCTAATGGTGGCCATAGACTCAGCGCCTCTATGCTTTTAGCTTCTACTGGTTAGGAAACTTTTTTTATGGGGAGATACGGCTTAGTGACATCATGGCATTTGAATTCTGTTTCTTGGCTCTCACTTTGTACTGGAGTTTCATGCCAGCAGCAATTTCTGCCATCTCTTAAAGAGATAAAGTTTTGCTCAGTGGAGAATCAGCTGATCCCAAATCCTGTTGCAAGTACCAGTCTAAACTACTCTAATGAGGCAGTGGCTTCCTTATCAGCACAAGTCAATAAGGGGTAGGCTCATCCACACATTTGCCTGTCATGTAATTCCTGTTACTTTGGTAGGCAGTATTCACCTTCTGCCAAGTATAAGCTCATCCTCCTGGCTTTTCTTTTAATCTCCCTCGAGCACCATTTATGACTTCAAATTTTGTTGTTCTTATGGTACCAGTGCAGGATGTGGTGACACCAGGCACTTGTCTACTGGTTAATGCAGGTGTATATCAGGAGACAGTGGCTGCTTGGGCAGCAATAATGTACAGCTCTGAACAGTATAGCACTTGCTGTTCTAGATTCCCTTCTGAGCTCTTGTAATACACTGAAAAACTTCCCAGATGTGTTTTACAAAGATTTTTTTTTTTTCTTTGAGTACAACTTTGCTGTGTGTCAGGATATCAGTATTTTGAATAGTCTGTGCATTATGGTTCTGTTTGATAACCATAGTGTCAGTTTAACAAATTTGTTAGTGTTTCAGAATGTTTCATCTCTATTGAAAATTTTAGGTATGGTTGTAATTGGTGAGAGCGGAACTGTTGCTTCTGGGACATCTACTAATGGTGCAGCCCACAAAATTCCAGGGTTAGTATTACAAAAAAGTTTTCTTCCCATCTCATTTCCTGCATTAAGCTTATCCAAAGGTTATGTGTTTTAGATTGCGATGATCACAAAATGGCCTTGCCTATTTCTGGGCACTGCTGTAAATCCTAATACTGATAAAATGATTCAGTTGCAAGATGATTTGTGTTTGATAGAATGCCTGTTTTTCAGCTGGCTTAATTCACCATAGAGACACAAACTGGCACAGTTGTGAGGCAGCTTGTAAGGCAAGGCACCAGAGATAAATGAGAATTCCGGAGAGGTGCATAATCTCCAAAGCAGTGTACATAGAATTAGAGCCCTGGGCTTGTATTTTGTCTTTGAGATTTTTTTTCTACCCAGTTCAGAATCTTGTCTGTCAACCAAGTCAGACAGCTTCTGAATTTAGCAGCAAGTTACTGAACTTACTAATGTCCCCAGCTGCTTATTGTTGCCCACTGGCTCAACCTTACTGCCCTAACTATAGTCAGTATAATAACAAACAGTTGTGCATTGGAGGTGGATTAAGCCTCAAGTTAGTCAGGTTATCACAGATCACTTTTATTTGTAGTTTCAAGGCAAGACTTCTGAATGCAGAGGAGTGACCTCTTTACCTGTTCTTTTCTCCTGTGGGTTTAACACTAACCCAGCTGGAGGCAGTGAGGTTGACAAAGTTAGAAGTGTGCCCATGTCATAAGAACTTGTCAATATCAGGCCAAGGGCTACTCCATTAATGCAATCCCACTGGAATTAGTAAATTACCATTTTCTGTAGTTTCTTTTTTTTTTTTTCTCCATTGTTCACTACAGCCGTGTAGGAGATTCTCCGATAGCTGGAGCAGGATCCTATGCAGATAGTACAGCCGGAGGAGCTGCAGCCACTGGGGATGGTGATGTCATGATGCGCTTCTTACCCAGGTTTGTCCTTAGGGCAGACATTGATAGCTTTCTCTAGCAAAATGTGAACTCAGCAGATGAAGTAATTGATTAAAAAGACAGTCTGACTTACTGGTTGCTGAAGTGGGAGTAAAGGAAGGGTGGAAGGGGAAAGAACAGTAGCAGAATCAAGTCATCCTTATGATCTGTCTTAAAAGAAGTGACTTCTTAAATATCTTGATGACAGATCCCTTAATGCTGTCAAGCTGTGCGCAAACAGGCATCAGGTAATGAGTGTATTCCCAACCTGCATGCTTTTTAACAGAACTGATTAGCTTTCTCCTTCAAAGTGCTTTTTTGTGTGGGAAATAAGTGTTACAAATTGTAGAAAGGATGAGGAGTGAGTTTTAGATTGCTCAGGAGAGTGGGGAGGTGTCACTATAACAGTCCTATGTAATTCCATCTAATTTGAAACTGGAAGAGGTGTTTTAGTGCTGTCATCGTGGTTGAATAACCTGTGTAAAATATGGCTGTTTTCATCACTGAGTCTTGACAGTCATTCTTGTGGGTCAGCCTCAGCAGGAATGAGTTATGGAAGTCTATGCTGAACATAATGGGCACTGATGCTTGGGAGAATATATAGGAGTGGCCTTCATATTACTCAGATGCTTTTTCTGAAAATCTGGCAGTTATGAATGCCTACTAGCTGTTGCATATTTACAAATGTCCTCAATGAGTTTCAAGCTGTTCCAAGGCAGTCTTGAAATACAAGGCAATTGACAACTTAATGAATTATCCTGAGGTATCAGATACCAACAGTAGTAGGGAGTTGAGCTCCACTATGAGGTTAATCAATAAAATCTTACATTACAGTTTAGCAGCCTGAAGGGTTTGGCTGTAATGCTTAAAACATTTTGTTGACACCAGTGGGTTTTAGAAAACAACTCAGACTAGGTGGTTAATCACAGGTTCCTTGTAGATGCAGATCTTTCCTAATTCCATGTTGTTTAGATATTCCCACATGAAAACAAAGAATAGAATTGACCTGCCAGAAGTGAAGGAAGTGTCAAATAAAGGGCAAAATTGCTGATATTTTCTATCCGCCTTCTTTGAGATAGTAGCATTTTACTGAGTTTTTTGATTAGTGAAGAGACCCCTGTGAAATACAGCTTTATATTCAGCTAGTTATCTTTAGACAACTTGAACCTATTTGACTGTTAGAATAAATCAAAGGTAAAAGGGAGTCTCAAAACACAAGGAAAGTTGGCTTCTGTGGTACTTTAATAACATCTGTAGTTAATGCTATCTGTAGTTGAGTCTGAGTGTAACAAGAATTGGTTTTGGTAAATGCATCTTTCATCAAAACAAATTCTAAGGTGGTTTTCTTTTATATTATGCATTATCTTTTAATCTTCAGGTTCTGAAAGAAAACAACAACAAAAGTATCTTTTTTGCCTCAGGACATTTTGGAAATGCAACTGATTCATCTCACGCAATATCCATCTAGTCATTTCTCTAATGATACTGTAGATAAAAATGAAGTTCATTTTGAGTACTCTTTCATTTAGAGTAAGATTTTTTTTTTTTTTAAATTAGCTTGCAAAAAGTTTGAAAGTGACTCAAAGTCCTGATCAAAACGTTCTACCTTCATATTCATTAAATAAAGAAAATGTGTCAATTTTGAGGTTTTCAGAAACTTGGGTTTTGTCTGAAAGATTTTTTTAATGCTTACTGAAATCAGTAATTTATCAGTTATGTAATATTGGTGGTCAATTTTCTCCAAAGAAGCATCTTGACATTGGCCTTTTTGAAAACTAGTGATAACTTTTAATGTCAGACTTAATCATGCAATGAAAAATAAAAGCCACTAACTCTTTAACTGCTTCTTTGCAGTTCTTTAACTGATCTGTTGCTTAGCCTCTTCTGCTGCAAATGATCAGTTATCCCAGGCTTGTTCCTGCCTTAGAATGCCAGATGTCATAGATGACAACTTGCAGTCCCTTTTAGTCCTATTTCTGTTTACTTTTCATGTAGAACTTGAGCAATAATTACCAATATGAAGTTTGGTTAAAGATTATTTATCATGTGTTTCCATTATTCAAAGAAATCAAGGTCTGTCAATGTTTTTTTAGAGTATATAACCTGAGTTTGGCTAATTGTCTGGGTGTGGGCTTGGTTGTTTTTTTAGTTATCAAGCTGTGGAGTATATGAGGATGGGAACAGACCCAACAGTAGCCTGTCAGAAAGTTATTTCCAGAATCCAGAAGTACTCTCCAAAGTTCTTTGGCGCTGTTATATGTGCCAATACAACTGGAAGTTATGGTATGTATTTTGCTTATCAGACAAAGCTTATTGACCCTAACTAGGTCACAGAAGTACAAAACTGAAGGTAGATTTTAAAGCAGAACGCTTTAATTATTCTTTGAACACTGCAGCAGTACTGGCCATTCATATCAAATGCTGGCTAGCATGGCATCTGTGTCCTAGTGTGGATTTGAGATACTTTAATTTTTTCTCTGCATTTTGATATCTTAGACTTGTGCAAAATTTATGCAAGTCTCAGTAAAAATCAAAAATATTTACAACCTTCATGTGTTTTCCTGGACTGCATATGATTAATTTGAAGGTTTTAAAAAAGAATGCTTATGCCTCCCCTAGATATGGCATAAGGCAAGGAGAATGGGAATGTTAAGCATAGCCTCAAAGCAATCGAAGATCAGTCATTGTGCCAGGCATCTCATTAGTGAACTCTTAGATCAGTAGGAAATACAATTTGCTAATCAACACAGCTTATTTAGTTAGACTGCCTATTGCTGTTCTTTGATCTCTTATTTCCCATAGTTCTGTGTTTAAGAGATTAGTGTTGGAGGAACTCATTAAGTTAATCAGGATTGAAAAAGAGAGAGAGGTATTTTCCTAACTCACGTTACTGTTTCAAATTGTATTATAAGGGCATTAATTGCACTACAGCAGTCAGTAGGACTGTATTTTTACTTAAAAATGAAATAGTCAAGATGTCTTGGGTTAAACAGATTGTAAAAGAATAATGACACCATTGTAGTAGAATTAGTAACTGGGTCTTTAGATGATAAAGTACAATGACAAAGACACTAATCCCAAACATAGCAAATTATACTCTTTTTTTTTCTTTTTCCCAGGTGCTGCATGTAATAAAATTCCCGGATTCACTCAGTTTCACTTCATGGTTTCTAGCCCTTTGTTACATCAGCCAACTGAACAAGTAGTAGATTGCATTTAATTTCTTTTGTCTTATTAATATCTAAACTTAGAGGAAAGTGCTAAGGTTTTCCAGGTGTTACTTTTTAAAATGGTTGTTCATTTTCACGGTTGCAATAACCATGTGAACAAGTGCAAAGGTATGTTGATGGTGCAGCTACTACTTCACTGGTTTTGATATCTTCTACGTTATGATTTACCATAGTGCAACTAAACTCAATCTGTGGTTTCCTAATGTAATTATCTTGGTAATTTATTTCTAAATGATTGTAGATTGGTACTGTAATCTAAAGCGAGGTTTAAAAAACTGACTGTAATTTGAGGGAAGTGAACAGAGTTGCAAAATTCTAGTTATGTGTTGTCCCACACAGGGGGTTATGAGGGGAGTGAATCTTCTTAATTCCCTGAGAGTCTGCATGCCAGTGGAAGAGCCAGTCTCTGCTCTGCAGAGCACAGGGCAGGCCGAGTCATGACAATGACTCAGAGGAACAATTGTGCTGGTCACTTTATTAACTGACCACTTCAGTAAGTGAATAGAGACTATTTGGCAACAATCAACTGATAAATATCCAGCAAACAAATGAAGGCACTTTGATGTGAGACTATTTTCCTGATAACTCGTCACTGATCAATCAATCGCAATTCACTTCGTACAAAACTGACATACATGAATGTATGTAAGAAAGAGAGAGAGAGCAAAAAGAGGAAAGAGAAAAAAGAGGAAGAAGGGCTAGGAAAGGGGGAATCACCACCCTTGGATCCTGTGTTGTCAAAGAGTAGCCAGCTTGGTCCATAGGTGGTGGGTCGACAAAGACACACGAGAGGTGTTGCCTTTATATAGTCTTTCTTACACATGTGCAGTAGGTTGTTCCAGAAGGTTCTAATTTTCTCTGGTTTGTACCTGTGCAGTTAGGCACATTCTGTCTCTGGGCAACAACAGGAAGGAGGGGGAGAGAAATGGCCCACCGCCCCACCTCTGCTGAGCGTGCTCTGCTTCTCCAGAGGCCATCCCACTCAAGTTGTTTGAGGCATCCTTGCAAACTGTTGTTTATGAACAGTTTGTGACAAGCTAGTTCTGACACTTTCACAGTTAGCATAGGCAATTCATCTATGTTTAAAAATTTACATTTAAGTGAAATGCCTGAAATTAATGTACTTCACTACTGAGGTCTCAAGTCATGAATTTAATAGGCATTACCTTACATCCCAACTCAATTTTTAAACTTTTTCAAACCTGACAGTCAAACTCTGGTTCTAAATACCACTAAAAGTTATCTGTTGTGATTTGCTTCCAAGTGATGCCAAGTTTCACCTGCTTTTTGGGGAAAGTAGAGCTTTGGTTATTGGAAAAAAGAACAGCTTTCAACGGTAGCTCATAAAGTGTACAGGTGGTAGTACGTATGCAAAGAGACCAAAGTGTCTATGGCTCTTGTAGTCTGTTTTCATAAGAAGTAACCAACCAGAAATGATGAATAGTAAACATTGAACTGGATCTTTGCTTTACCATTTAAAAACATATTTGGCAGAAGTCTGGAGTAAAGGTCAGGGAACAGGAGGAGCTCTGCCTCTACACATGAGACTTATTTGGAGAATATTTAATTGTCTTTCTAAGATTTAGTCCATGTTTTCTCTTGAAATCACATGCAAATGGTGACAAGCAAAGACAGGGTTGAAGTATAGTGAAGAATTCAAAGCTTTAAAGAGATAAGGAGTACCTCCTTGTGAACCCTTCTAACTTGTATTCTCAGCTATTGTGAAATGTTTGAATAAAGAGGACATCCAAACATCCCTGGTAGTACAAGCCTTCAAGGATTATTGCATTGACTGGATGTGAAGATGTGGAAATCTTCCTGTCACCTTTTTTTGTCGGCGAAGTTATGAATCTTAATAACTGTGATTTCCTTGTCACTAATGTGCTGTGTGCTTGCACATTCTTGTAGCACGCCTACCCCTGCAAAGGAGCAGTTGCATACCTAGAGCATGACAGTTACCTACAGCTGACAAAGCTGGGTTTGTCACTTTCTCTGGAGATAGCAGGATTTATTTGTAATAGAACTTCAGCATCTTGAGGATTGTTCCATAGGTATTTGAAGATCTGTTTGATTGTTTTCTTAACTTGGTGACGCATTGATCACTTAATTGAATCTTTGCTAAACTTGAGCTAGGAAGTTAAAAGGAGGGAGCAAATAAAATGAGCATGTCTTGTTATAAACACCTTAATTATTCTTTATCTACTTGAATAAAATCATTGGGTAATAAAAGCACACCTTAATGTATCATTTATAAGATGGTTTAGATACTTGTACTGTGCTTTAGAATGATTATTGCCTTATGTTCTAAGATGGAATCTTTGAAAGTTGGAAAAAGTTCAAGCTAGAATAGCCAGTTTTAATGACCTGCTGTTGAACTTCATCAGCAAAGTAATTTATTTGGTGATTCACTTCTGTCACTGGATCTTCAGAGCATCCTGTTGCACAGAGTACACTGTAAGCCGCAACAAGCTTTAGTCAAATAAGCTCTTACTGAATATATCTGCAGTGGTTTAAGATAAGTTCTCTACCTGTCCCACTTACAACCCTTTGCCGTGGCTGCTGTATCTTCAGGTAACTCAGGCAGTCAAGTGCAAAGAGATGACTAAAATCCCGGTAATTCTTACTTTGGAGGTAGCACTGTGCACTGAATTTAGGAGGTTTCAGTACTGGCAGCTGAGTGGTAACTTCTCAAACTGCTGCAGCTGAATCCACTGGGATTCATTTTTTTGAGAGAGCATCCACGGCTTGCTTTCTAGTGTGCTTATGCCACTCTGTGCTAGTGTGTGCCTCTAGAGGCTAGGGTTGCCCATGCTGAAAGATGAGTGCTCTGTAACAGTGTACCTGAAGGCACAGAGTTAAAATTCTAGCTTACTGCATAGTCTGCTCACCTATACATGATCTTGTCTCCATGAGACATAAGTACTAATCATGTGGTTTAATAGTCTAGGTTGCTTTGTCATGCTGAATTAGTTGTTATAAATGGTTAGTTTTTTGCAAACTATTTTAATACATTGTTAATTTGACAGTTTATTAAATTATAATATTTATACATGTGCTGTTCTGATGTAATGGAGAGAATTCTGGACTTAAAAACTAATTTACTTAATATTTTGTATTAAAAATATTTTTTTAAATGTTGCTAGTGTAGGGCTGTTCTCACGCTTAGCAGACACATGAAGTTTTTTAAGAAAGCTTTTTACAAGTACAAATCCTTGATGAATAAGCAAAAACTGTGACAGTTTCTGCTGGGGGGGGAAGTCTTACTGCTCCTGATTTCAAGGAATTTTATATTTCTAAGTTTTTACACTCAAACTTTTACTACAAAATGCAGAAAAAACCTACACAGCATGTATTTATACTTTAGTGGTATAGTTGAATTCATTCCTTCTGTAAAGTTGTGGGGTGTTTTTTGAGTCCAACTGTGTTTTCAAGTTCATTAGCTTCTAGCTAGCCTGCTTTTTTCTATTTTGAAAACTTCTTACGAAATTATAGCTTCATCCAGTGTAGACAGAGAAAGAATCTTAGCTCAGTGGTCTGATTAATAAAGCCAACTATGCCATGTTTTTGCATGCCACTGAATTGTTCTTTAATAAAACAATCTGTGTGAACCCTGATGATGTTTTGTATACAAGTGTTGAAGAGAACTTGTCTGTCATTTCACTGTAGGTTACCACTGGAATATGGCTTTTCATCCATAACTGCCTCAGTCAGGAATAATTCAGATTTTCAGAGAATCCAAGGTTGATCTTTCAGACATAATCTACAAGTAATACTATACAAAATGGAGTGAATCTATTATCTTTTCGTCGGGTAAAAACAAGTGGTGCTGATTGTTTTTTAACTTAAAAATTCTTTTAGCATTTGTTGTTTGGTTATTGCATGACTGCTGTAACTCATTAACAACTGTGTTCATCCTTGTTTTGAAATAGAAAATATATGTAGGATTTCAGTTCTATTATCTGTAGTCTGTGTGTGTGAGGAAACATCAGTGATATAGTTAAATTTACTTTAGCTCTAATCTACAAGTAGTACGTTATATGTTAAGCACTGAACTAGAGAGGTTCTCACTGAGGGATCTGTTTAATTCCTCCACATAAGTTTCATTAAATTTACAGCAAAAAGAACATTACTGAAATGTCCGCAGAGCAGCTGTGGCAGAATCTCAGGATTTTATGACTAGCTCTGTTGGTATTGTTCAAGCTGCTGAATCACTACTTCAGATGTTTGTGCATTTAACAACATTTGCTGTGTTTCCATTCTCTTCACAGTGACAGATGATGGTCTGTGAAATAAAAGCAACTATCAAGTGTGCCAGTTGTTCAGGGAATTTCTGTTACTGGTAGGTTTTGTTTTGTTTAGCTTTCCAGTAGGATAGAGAAAAATCTTTGAAAGAAGGGGGTTTGATTATACTTTTCAGGTAGAGTTTTACAGAAACAACTGTGTCATCAGAGTTTTTTACTGGTTAGAAATGGTGATTTCAAAACTCTGCATGAAAAAAACTTTCATGTTCCTCATGAAGAGGAAGTTTCTTGTTTTCATCCTTTGCATACTTTCCAGGCTGACTCCAAAATGCATTTCGGCTCTAATTCTGTTTGTTGGTAAATTATTATTTTGATTGGTGTTGTGCAATATATAAAATCGGTGAGCTCTGTCACTTGAATGTAGTTGTGAAATTGGGTTGCATTTTATATTTCTACTTTCTTAGCATTTGTCATTTAAAGATCCCAAGGAATACGAAATTCAGTTTAGCAAGAATTCCAATGGCCTTGGCTTATCTAAATATTCTTATGTACAGATGGGAAGAACCTGAAGTTGTTAATTTTCCAAGACAAGCATACAGAGTTTGTTACAGAACCTAACACTCCCAACAGGAAAAAGGCTTTTTGTGAAAGCAGGTCTGCTTGTCTGATCTTCTGACTGCATTTGCAGACTGTATTTTAGTCTTTGTAGAATGTCAGGGTAACTGAACAGGAAAAATGCACTGTAATACTCTGACACTTTTAATATTTTTTTGGTTTTCATTGTTACAGATCAAAACAAGATAATTCTTTGCTGAAGGTTTAGTAACTTGAATTCACAAATGTATGTGGTCTCAGTTACAGATGAGCTTTTGTCAAACACTGACAGTATTCCCTGGCAGTGTTCAAGGCCAGGCTGGACGGGACTTTGAGCAGCCTGGTCTAGTGAAAGATGTCCCTGCCCATGGCCAGGAGGGTTGGAACTAGATGATCAGGAGAATTCAGCAGATGAATGGGTGGCTCCAAGACTGGTGTTACCATCAGGGCTTTGGATTCTTCAATCGTGGGTTGGTATACAGGGCACCTGATCTTTTGACATTAGACGGGATGCACCTGTGCCAGAGAGGGAAGGGGATTTGGGGGCAGGAGTTAGCTGGGCTCATTGAGAGAGCTTTAAACTAGATTTGAAGGGGGAAGGGGGCAAAACATCAGCCCATCTGAAGTGCATGTATACCAATGCACACATCATGGGTAACAAACAGGAGGAGCTTGTAGCCATGATGAAACGGGAAAATTACAATGTTGTTGCTATAACAGAAACATGGTGGGATGTCTCCCATGACTGCAGTGCACCAGTTGATGGCTACAAGCTCTTTAGGAGGGACAGACAAGGAAGGAGAGGTGGTGGGATGGCGCTGTATGTTAGGGACTGTTATGATTGCTTCAAGCACAAAAGTAGTGAAGACAGGATGGAGTGTCTTTGCATTAGAATCAGGGGGATGGCCAACAGGGCAGATGTTGTAGTAGGAGTCTACTATAGGCCACCCAACCAGGACAGAGAAATGGATGAGATATTTTATAGGCACTTCGGTGAAATCTCACGATCGCTGGCCCTTGTTCTTGTGGGTGACTTTAACTTCCCAGACATCTGCTGGAAATACAACACGGCAGAGCAAGACCAGTCCCGGAGGTTCCTAGAATGTGTGGGAGACAATTTCCTGATGCAGCTGATGAGAGAACCAACCAGAGGAGGTGCCCTGCTGGGTCTCCTCTTTATGAACAGACAAGGACTTGTGGATGATGTGGTGGTTGAAGGCCGACTAGGGCACAGCGATCGTGAAATAATAGTGTTCTCTATTCTTAGAGAGGCCAGGAGAGGGGACAGCAGAATTGACATCCTGATCTTCCAAAGGGCTGACTTTGTCTTGTTTAGGCACCTACTTGACAGGACCCCTTGGGAGACAATCCTGAAGGGTATAGGGGTCCAGGGAGGCTGGGCACTCTTCAAGAAGGACAGGAGCAGGCTGTCCTCAGGTGCTGTAAGAGAAGCCAGAGGCAGAGAAGACCACCCTGGCTAAACAGGGAGCTTTGGCTGGAACTCAGGGAGAAAAGAGAGTTTACAGCCTTTAGAAGAAGGGGCTAGTGACTCACAGTGATTACAAAGAGGCTGTGAGGCTATGCAGGGTGGAAATCAGAACTGGAAATTAATTTGACCTCTGCAATCAAGGATAACAAGAAAAGTTTCTATAAGCATGTCAGTAGCAAAAGAAAGTCCAGGGAGAGTCTCCATCCCCTGCTAGATGCAGGAGGAAATTTGGTAACAAGTGACAAGGAGAAGGCTGAGGTGCTTAACGCCTTCTTTGCCTC